TAGCATGCATCTGTCATGAGAAAATTGTGTAGGTTGCCTTTGCTCACTTTTGAGAATGGCAGTTGCCTAGCTGTCATGCTGATGTTTTGACTTCAAAATTTCTTGAGTCAACAGTTGAACCAACAATAAGGAGGAGATAATGAATTCTGATGCCTATCTTATGCTCATTTACAGCAAGCTTGTTCTGGGTATGTGACTTAAGTGTTAGCCATACACAACCAAGCAAGTAAAATGTTCAATTGCAGGCCAGCAGTGGCAGTCCTTGGTGTTTTTCATGACTGATCTATGTTAAGAATACTTGTATCCACCACCCTGCACTCAATACTGTATATCATCTACACAATTTACCAAATTAAATCTTTAAACATTTTCTTTGCAAATGTAGTATTCTAGTCAGAAATTAGGTGGTATGAATGTTTTCGTTCTCTGGGGTTTGGGGTCAGGAAAAAAGAAACTATTTTTATATATTGCATGCAAGAGCTTTCACCCCAATCAGTTGTAGCGCTACATTTGAAGAGCTCGTTTTTAATTGTATTATTTTTATGGAAGCATCAGAGAGCGTACCACCTGTTGATGAGACTCGGCCATTCTACAGTCTAATTTGTTCATGAAGGACAGCAGAACATGCCAAGACAAAAGATTAGGATGGGTTGGACTGGAGCTCAGAAGTTAGATTTAGCCTGTGTTCACACACTGATACGGTCTGGAATTTGCATTGTTTTCTGTGCGAATTTGGCACCACATCAGAATGAGACCCCGTTCATGCAAACTGCTGTGGGTATTTGTTAACACCCCAAAATCAGTCCACACACACACACACACACACACACACACTTGCCCACAAGGATACTACAAATAAAATGGAAATAAAAACATGGTTTATGGAAGTTTTGTATGTATGTGGGCATCTTTTACCCATTGATCCTTTGTGTGTAAAAATATATAGTTTTTAATACTATTTATACATTCTAGTCTTGTTTTGTGGTGTAAGTCAATTTATTTAATATTGGGTGTTGGAAAATGCAATAAATGTATTGTACTGTTAGGTTTTCACAGTAACATTGTTTAAAATTATATATGGCCTTCAGACATGCTGTATCTTTGTGCTGTTACTGTAACCTGCTTTACAGTTGCTCTACATGGTCTAATGTGAGGGTGTGCTGTGGCAGTGGTTTATTCCTCCTTGCAGTAACAAGCTGTTTTGGGCTTGGGAGTTTCATTCCTGAGGGCTAAAATTTACATCACATGGATTAAAAAAACACATATTACTAGGGAAGGGATTTTTTTTTTCATCCATTTCACAGATGCTGCTCAGAGTCCCTCAAGAGACCAAAGACAGGATTCGGGCGGTTTGGAGCATCAGAAGGTAAAACCTGGTATTTTTTGACCTTGTACAGAGCCCCCCTTCTCTGTACCTGCCAACGTTGGCTCTCCAGGTTGCATTTTCTAACCGTTGAGGTTCCACTGGAGTCCATCGAGCAGGGACAGAGTTACCCATCTCTGTTCCTTAACACTCACAGCTTCTTTTTCAGAGCTGTATGAATGATGCAGCAGTTTTGTACCGACCACCAGAGTTAGCTACATTTTATTACCCTCTTTTCAATCAGTTTACAGTTGAATTTTGTATGCCAAAGTCATCTACTCGAGTGTTTCACATGTGGCCAGATATTATACAGTGAAGGAAATAAGTATTTGATCCCCTGCTGATTTTGAATGTTTGCCCATTAACAAAGAAATGATCAGTCTAAAAATCGAATGGTAGGTCTACTGTAACACTGAGAGATAGAATAGCAACAAAAAATTCAAAAGAAATGCATGTCTAACAAATTATGCACTGATTCGCATGTTCAAGAAGGAAATAAGTATTTGATCCCCGTCAAAAAACATGACTTAGTACTTGGTGGCAAATCCCTTGTTTGCAATCACAGACGTCAGACGTTTCCTGTAGTTGGCCACCAGGTTTGCACACATCTCAGGAGGGTTTTGGCCCACTCCTCTTGGCAGATCCTCTCCAAGTCATTAAGGTTTAGTGGCTGACGTTTGGCAACTCAAACTTTCAGCTAGGCCACTCCAGGACCTTAATGTGCTTCTTCTTGAGCCACTCCTTTGTTGCTTTGGCCGTGTGTTTTGGGTCATTGTCATGCTGGAACACCCATCCATAACCCATTTTCAATGCCCTGGCTGAGGGAAGAAGGTTCTCACCAAAGATTTGACGGTTTATTGCCCCGTCCATCGTCCTTTTGATGTGGTGCAGTTGCCCTGTCCCCTTAGCAGAAAAACACCCCCAAAGCAGAATGTTCCCACCACCGTGTTTGACAGTTGGGATGGTGTTCTTGGGGTCAAAGGGAGCATTCCTCCTTCTCCAAACATGGCGAGTTGAGTTGATGCCAAAGAGCTCGATTTTGGTCTCATCTCACCACAACACTCTCAACCAGTCCTCCTCTGCATCATTCAGATGTTCAGTGGCAAACTTCAGATGGGCCTGGACATGTGCTTTCTTGAGCATAGGGACCTTGCGGGCACTGCAGGATTTCAATCCTTGTCGGTGTAGTGTGTTACCAATTGTTTTCTTGGTGACTGTTGTCTCAGCTGCCTGGAGATCATTGACAATATCCTCACGTGTAGTTCTGGGATGATTCCTCACTGTTCTCATGATCATTGACACTCCACGAGGTGAGATCTTGCATGGTGCACTAGACCTAGGGAGACTGACAGTTGTTTTGTGTTTCTTCCAGTTGCGAATGATTGCACCAACTGTTGTCACCTTCTCACCAAGCTGCTTGGCGACAGTTTGGTAGCCCAGTCCAGCTTTGTGTAGTTCTACAATCATGTCCCTTACATCCTTGGACAGCTCTTTGGTCTTTGCCATGGTGGAGAGTTTGGAATCTGATTGATTGCTCCTGTGGACAGGGGTCTTTTATACAGGTAACTAAATGGGATTAGCAGCACTCCCTTTAAGAGACTGCTTCTAATCTCAGCTTTAAACCTGGTAGCCAGAAATCCTGCTGAATAATAGGGGACCAAATACTTAATTCCCTCATGAACATGCAAATCAGTGCATAATTTGTTAGACATGCATTTCTTTATAATGTTGCTATTCTGTCTCTCAGTGTTAAAATACACCTACCATTTGATTTTTAGACTGCTCATTTCTTTGTGAGTGGGCAAACATTGAAAGTTAGCAGGCGATCAAATACTTATTTCCTTCACTGTAGTTGATGTTGTGCTAGGGCTTGTGGACAAGTACACTGGATGTCAGCGTCCCTCTTGTACTTACAGTTTGGATGAAATGTGATTATTAATGCCAAATGACAATGAAGGAGCATTTAAAGGAAATGTAGGTCAGGCTCTTATAAGATATGTGCCAAGAAGCTGTACTCATGATTTTTTTGCCTACATGGTAAGCATTTCATCTAATGAATTCACACAGCTCACATGGTTTCATAATGGAATTTTTAAGATTATAGTTAATGGCATTTCAGAAGTTTGCTTCAATGCTTCTCATTATCTTTTAGGCCTTATGCACACGGACAATTATTTTACCTCCCCCAGAAGCCTGCAGCGTTTTGGCCAAAAAACCACTTGAGTCTTGTTAAAGTATGTACTGCATTTACACGCGTTTACCCGCATCAAGCGTTTTGCATGATAATTTCATTGGCCAGAATGAATCATTTATTCTGGCCATTGAAATTTAATGCTCAAGCTCTAAATGCGCCTAACATTTAGGCAAATTTACACTCATTTAGGCACATCAAGCGGTTTTGACAAAACGCTGCTGCTCCAGGATGCCCTGGCAGTGGGGTTTTTTTCTTCCACTAAACTCTTCTGCCACAAAATGCTGCTAATATCCTATGTGCTTATGAACACATAGGATAACTTGCAGGTGAGTTTAAAGGCAGTAAAAAATAATGCCTGATACCCCTAGGAGCAACTGTAAAAACGTCCAGTGTGCATGAGGTCTTAATGTTGCTGTTGTGATATTACTGATGTTTGAATATACTGAAAAGATTGTGTCTGAAAGCTACCATCTTATCTCTTTTTTTTTTTCTTTTTTTTTTAATAATGATATTCATCTGCTTAAAAGTACCAATACACTGTGCTTTAAAGGAGATGTGTAATGCAGCAGTGTTGCTGTTTACCAGAACTTATTTAGAGCTTGTGTATGCTTGAGCCCGGGTTCACACTGATGCCGTGTGGAATTCGCACCGGTTTCTGTGTGATTTCTGCACCGTATCATAATCGCACACTGTTCATGCAAACTGCTGCGAGTGTGTATTTCAGGTTAACACCACCGTGAAATAAGTTCGCCTGGACCTTATTCACCACTGTGAAATAAGTTCGTAAAACGCAGTGCGATGTGCAGAATCAGATTGCATAGATGTGAACACCCATGTAATCAGTTTCTGGTGTGGACAAAAAAAGGGTCCTGCACTTTTTTGGTGCGGATACGATGCAATTTGAGCCATACAAAATGCATGGGTCAAATTGCACTGCACAGAAATTGCATGTGATTTGCACAGGAATGCAGTGCAATTCCTGTGCAAATCATATGCAGGCTGCCGTACCGCATCACTGTGAACCCGGGCTGAATATTACATACAGCTGCAAATCTAAAATCTTCTTCCAAGCTGTATTTCATTTGCGAATTGAATTTACAGTTGACTGACAAGGTGGTCGGTACATATTTGTTGCATCGATTTTGTCCATCTCCATTACAGCAGTGTTAATTTGTTCTTCTATGATTTTCTATTCTGACAGAATACTGATGAAAATAAATTGGGTGAGATAGATGAAACAATCCTAACTTCTTCACTTCGCAAGCGCCTTGCAGAAGGTATGTTCTGTTCAGAGTTTCTAATGTAAATTGCTTGTATATCAATACTTTGCAAGGAGATTTATTCAGTTGATATTGCTTATTCACTGTAAAGATTTGGGTTCTCTATTTGTAGTACTTATAAAACACACAGTTTTATCTTTATTCTTTTGTTTTTGAATGAATAATGTTTGTTTTGTTAGGTAGTGAAGATTCTGGTGTTTGCAAACAAGCTCGCCTGGACCTCCCATTTGAAGAATGGGATGGTGCTGGACTGCCTTGGTGGTTTTTAGGAAATCTCAGATCAAACTATATCCCTCTAAGTCGTGGATCTACGGATATTCCATCAAATCAGGTGACATGCACATCTTCTTGTTCGCCCTTTTATGAGAGCGATAACTTTAAAAGAGAAAAAAATTAAAGTAAAAGTAATAACAAAATTTAAAAGCACCTCTGTCACCTCAGTCCTTACATGGAAACGCACACGTATGTGAACGGTGATTGGACCACAAAAGTGAGGTATGGGAGCAGATGTTAGAGCAAGAGCAATAATCCTACAGCCAGAATTCATGATTAACGCTAAACTGATCAACTGTAAAGGCTTTTATATTGTTACATATGGACAATTTGAGGTGCCATAGCTTGTTGCTATTTCAAAGGCGATCTCTGTTTTCCTTTCAATAAATTTTTATTGAAAACATTTTCCAGTTATACATTGTAACTGCTGTCATGTGTACAGACTGATACATAAAATCAACAGTCGGTCTGTTTTATACCTTGACATTTTGGTATCTATTTATTCAATGCAACATCACCTTTATTTTTTTTTTCACCAAAAATTGGATGTATTATATTTTGTGTGCACTAAAGTTCATTAAAATTTTATTTTTTCCTGAAAATTTGCTTTTCATAAATGCAGGGTTTTTTTTTGTTTTTTTTTTTTTTTTAAACTACTTGTCCAAAGGACTAAATTGGGGTCCCAATCTACTTTTCCCTCATGACAATCTACTTGTCCTGATGGAAAATATGAAGGGTTGATTTTTTTTTTTTTTCATTAGGCAGAGGTGCTTTTGGGAATGTCTGGGGCTTTTAAAAACGAAAGGGGCTTTATGGCAACTTAAAATTTTTTTATTTTTTTTTTAACATTGCACTGTTTATAACCTACTCACCTCCGTGTCTGTCTCCAGCACCCCACCTGGGGACTAGCAGGGAGGGGAGAGACCTTGCAGTGTGATGAGCAATGATTGGGTGCTCATAAGGAAAAGGGAGTGTCGGGTAAATGAGGCGCTGGCCCCAATGAGTAAAAAAAAAAAAAAAAAAACCTTTTATTCCTTCCGGTTACTCACGAACTTGGGCACTTGGAAGCATTTGGATGCTCGGTACAAGCTCACGCTGAGCAGCCAAATCAAGCTCCAGTGTCTGCTCTGTTAAAGGATAAGTTCACCATTACACACACAATAAATGCACACTTTTTTTTGTGTAGGTAAAAAAAAATGCTTTTTTTTTTTTTTTTTTTTTTTTGTTAGTAGTCTGTAAAGCATTGCTCCCGCGATTAGCAGATTGTGGGTGTAATGTCATTCTCCTGCAGATTGTCTATGTAGCTGTCTGCCTGTACCTCCGATGCTCTACTCTGACAGGAAGCTCAGCTAACTACCTAGAGTGCTGAACAGCGCTCTGGTAGGTCATTGAGAACTACAAAACAGTAGCCACAAAGGCTGATGGTACCTGTAGTTTTCACATTCACAGAACTCTGTGAATGAATGATGCGGCCGGGCAGAGCTCTGCACAGCTACGTTTTTTCAGATTGTGGGGGGATAAGATCCCCCGCTAGCTGTCAAAACAGGGAATTGGGAGGTTACAGAGGCTGGTGCACCTGTAACATGTTACATCTTACATCCTGAATATGGGTGTAACATGTTACAATAGGTAAAATTTATCTTTAGGGGCAGAAAAAAAAAGTAAACCTTGATGCAAAACAAACAAAAAAACACTACATGAGAGCATTGATTCTGCATTACAAAAGTGAAAGCCAGCAGTGTCGTACGGAAATAAGTGAGAATGGTCATAAAATAGATGTGTGCATTCTAATTCTAAAGGCTGTACAGAAGGTACCTATGTTGGTGATCACAGATTAGACTACCATAGTAGTGGGGAGAAAGTAATACCAGCACACCACTAGCGTTCCCTACACAGAGGCAACCACTGGGGGAAGACTCCTCTGGTCCTCAGACTGGGGCCCCTGATAGCACATTTGTTGCTCAGTCTTTCTGAGCCCTATTACTGTACGCATGCTGGCACAAAACACACACAGGAAACCAGAGTGCAGCACGGATAGCCCTCGTCCTATATTGTGCAGTGGATGAGGGGCTCAGATGTGACATGTCACCCGGCACTAGCGGAAATCCCCCCCATATCGGCTCCCACAGACGGCACACTGACCAAGCAAAACACCCAGCAGGCAATAGGTGCTCCAGAGCCCGATTAAACACAGGTCCGCTTTGGCTGAAAGGAAAAATAATTAACATCCAGCCAAAGAAAGTATATGAACTGGCTGCGCTACATCATACATCATTCTGCTGCATTGCCTTCTGGGACATGCAGTTCAGAGCGCTCAGATTCTGGCCTGGCAGTCTGCAACATGTCTTTGATGTCAGTCCGAAGCGACAGTATCTGTATGGGGCCTGGAATTTCTGTGATAACTGGAACTGTCCTGAGCAAGCAGCAGGGCTAAACGTTATAAGAAACGTCCTGCCTGGTGCCCTGAACTGCATCTGCCAGGCTTCGGGCAGTATAATTTGCGTATTCCTGTAAATGGCTGCGCAAACATTATACAGGCATACCTTGGTTTACAATTGTAATTCGTTCTGCGTAAACTGCTGTTTCCCATAGGAATACATTGAAAACCAACTAATCCGTTCTTGAGGTCAGAAAAAAGTAAACACTACTAAAATACCGCACGAGTTATTTTATCAAGTCATGCAGTATTTTAGTAGTGGCAACCATGTGTTAATGTTTCAGCTGTCAGCGGGGTTTCCCCACTGACAGCTGAATGTAAAAGAATTGCCGGCAATTAAAAAAAATAAATTAAAATACAGCATGTGGTCCCCACTCCCATCCATACCAAGCCCTTCGTGTAGGCACTGGTAGGCAAGTTGTTATTCTGTCCATCCAATTGGATTAAATTTTAAGGGCTTTCAGACAAAATTAGTTCACTTGATACCAAGAAAGAATGTTCTATTAATGTTCTCAAGCAAAAATCTAACAGTATGCGCAGCTTGAGGCTCAAAGTAGAAAATCTTTCTTTGTAACCAGCATTCCTTTAGTTTCTCCCAGGCCTCCATGTCCACAATTCAGTCCCCTCACAAACCCTGGATGCTGAGCCTAAACCTGTAAGCAAATCTTGCTCACAATGAGTGGACACACCCCACTTTTCAAACTGGGGAAATGTCTGTTAGCCTTCACAACTACCTGGTCATAGAGTGAGGGGGCTATAAACTAGAATGTCTCACTTAATACTTTCTCCCCTGCCAATGTCCTTGTAATGAATAGCAGACCTCCATGCCGCTCTTGCATAAATCCTCTCTCAAGTAGTCTTTGCTTCTTTCTTGGAGCAAGAATGTTTTTTACTCAGACTTGTTCAATGCCCCAAAAGCCATAATGGGCATTCACCCTATTTTTGACCTAAAAATGCTCAACACTTTTAATTTTGTAAAAGTGTTCTGTATAGAATCTACCCAGTTAGGTTTTGCTTCCCCTCCTTCCAGGAGACTTTCTCACCTCGGTGAAGATCAAGGGTAGTTACCTGCATATTCCAATATTTGCAGCACATCAGTGCTTTTTTTGCTGTGGGAAAACTATACCATTTCATTGCCCTTTCCATTTGGGCTGTCTTATGCACCTTGCATTTGATGCACCAAGGTGCTTGCTCTTGTTATAGCCTTGCTATGCTACAATATGTGGACAACCTCTTACTGAGGGAACAGTTGCACAGATTTTCAGTCAGTGTCCACTGTACCCTTCAGACTATACAAAAGTTCTGTTGGATCGTGAACCTTAAGAAATCCGAGATAGTCAACCCATCGCTTGGTGTAGCTAGGTCTGCTTCTATAGATAATCCTCCATGGTCCTCCCTTCACAGGAGAAACTCTCAACCCTTCAGTTCCAAGGTTCAGACTTTGCAAACTAAGAGCTGTCCTGCTCTCTGCTTTTATGTGAGTGTTTGGAGTGTGGTGGTTTCCTATAAGGCAGTCCTCTTCACAGTTTCATTCCTTAACATTGCAGATCAGCTATCTGGCTGCGTGGGACAAAAACGCACACTCTCTAGTTAACCATATGTGGCTGGCCACCAAGACCAGGTTTTTACTGGCCTGGTGGCTCACAAAGCCAGCCTTGTATTTGGGCAAATTCTTCCTCCCACTGGATTCTCATGACAGATGCCAGCTTGACAGGCTGGATACCTTTTATGGTGCAGGGCTTGAATCCAGATTGAGCAGTAGCATCAATCATTAGAGAGGAACCAGAAGTCCCACAGCTCAAAGGAAACTGACTAGATTCTAAATTGGAAAAAACTTTATGTTCCAGCACCATCTGCTGTGCACATTCCAGGCCTAGAGAATTGGCAGGTGGACTTCTAAGTTGACAATATCTGGACTCAGGAGAATGGTCTTTTCACCTGGTGGTGTTCCAGGACCTCTGTTGCAGGTGAGGAATTCTGGTTATATACTTCATTGCTACCAGATTCTTGCAGTGCATGCTATGGTGACTTGGTGGGATAAATTCAACCTAATTTAATCCTTCCTCCTCTGAAGCTCCCATGTTGTCTTCTCAACGGGATTGAGATGAGGGCTTTCCAGTGATACTGGCTCCCCACCATGAGAATACAATAGCACAGCAGGAGTGATTCCTCCATCCACCACCTTGGATGTGGATGGGGGAATCAGCACATTTTTTACAAGCCCAGTGGGTTGAACAAAATAAAAAATGGTATAATGTGTGGTCTGCCTTAGAGTTCATTCATGCATTCTACTAGGTGGATATTCATCCCTCTGCTGATGCAAGCTTCGGGCTTAAGGTCCTTCAGGCAGTTCTTTGGCTGCAAATCTCCAGTTTTACACTGTTTTTTTATGGTCATGTTAGTGCAGGACTTGACAAATTTGCTTTGAATCTAGGAGCCAACCCAAAAAAGTTAGGAGCCAAACTTCAGTATCCTATATTTTCTATAGGTGACCCTTTAAAAGCCCCTGATAGGTCATTGGTTTAGCGTTATGGATGAAGTCTAGTGCTAGAATTATTGCTCTCATTCCAGCGTGTGCAGCGATATGTAATGTGTATCGCAATCAATGTTTTCATGCATAG